TTCTAGGTTTATTACGATTTCAACATGCTCAGCATGTTGCGTGAGCCAGCAATGATTATTGGCGCCTTCCTCTTGCTTTTCGCTGCAGTAATCATCTACGTCCGTCTCGATTTTTCCATTTCTGAGGTAAGAATGTCCTCTTTTATGGCAGTATGCTTTATTGTACCTGGTGCTGTCTAGCCGTTATTCTGGCAATTATTCAGGACAAAATGGCAGAATTGCAACAACGCGTTCAGGCCTCCGTGGACGAAATTCTCAGTTTGCAAAATAAACGTTCAGCAATTTACCAAGCTTTTGAAGACGCTGTCAGTAATTACAAGTCGTCAAAGGACTCGGATCGCTTTAAGTCTGACTATCGCAAAGTTGAGGCGGATTATAAGGCTATCTCGCAGAAAATAGCTGGGATGCAGTCCAAGCTACGTGAATTCTGGACGGAGGGAGCTGATAAAGTTAGAATAACTTTGATACTAGTGCTCTATTTTATCCGCACTTGTGATAAACTTGAAGCTCGAACGTGTGCTTGTGTCTTTAGGTTGGTGAGTTACAAAAATTGGATTTGGATTACCACAGTCTGATGAGCAAAGGCATATCTCTGGCCGAAAGCGTAGTATCAGGAAAGATCTCAAAGCCGCAGTATCAGACTGAAGACACGAATCTATCTGCTAAGAAGACTGCACTTATTAAGAGAATGGAATCAGTTGCTGAGTCCCTGTAGTGTACTCCACCTTGGCTTCTTTAGTGCTGCTGCTTTATCTTTTCCCCTCACTCGTCCGCAACTTTAGTCTTTTACACTGTTAGCGGATCATTTTCAATAAACCCGTTTTGGTTATGCTTGTTGACTATAGATGAATTGTCACTATTTAGTTCTGTGATATTGAGTTCATTCTTGTCCTTAGCTCCTGTGCACCTCTTCTCTGTACATCGTCCCACATTGACGTTTCCGATGTGAGCTAGCTTGGTCTTATGTGGTCTCATGCGAAGTAGCCATGGTTGGAGTGTCTCTCTGAATGTTTTATCCACTGGTTGGTGACTCAGAAATGTGTCGGCGCTAAAGATGTCTGCAACTCTGAAGTTTATTCCCATACAATTCTCCAAAATTCAATTCAATGCAAGTCTTGAAGCACTTTAGGGAGTTGCGCTCCTGTCCAATCCTTGTTTCACACGCAACATATGCTTATTCCTAGTAGTCAATAAAAAGATGAGATCACTTGTCACGGCTGCATGTACTTGGGTCTACAGACTCTGAGAGATAGGCTCCAGATCCGCACTGCTTATTACGGTGATGGTGGTCGTGTGTGCGTTAAAGCCTTGATTCACTGTTTATTTGGTTGTTGTCACTTGAGCATACGAAGGATTGGCTCTAATTGTTGGTGGTCGAACTCATAGCAATCCTTGACGCACGTTTCAACAATGAAAACCTGGTTTACAACAATTACACTAAGTAACTGTAGCTGTTGATAGGTGACAAATTAGGGAAAAATTTGCTGAGAAAATAGGGATCGGGATGGATTTCACAATTAATGAGTTAAATTTTTAGTGGACTGTATGAGTGTAGGAAACTGATTTTCTGAAATCAGCTTTGAAATATAAAAGGCACAATTTGAACTCTGGAATGCTGGAAGGTTGTATTTACAGGTTTTGCCATGCATCAAGTGATGACAGCAAGGCAAGCG